CGTGGCAGGTAATCACAATCGTAAAATGAATTAATGGGACGATAAACGAATTGTTAAAATCGCGTACGGGGTCACGGAAAGAGTCAATGGTATTCGTGCATTTCTCGTCGTCGTTAAGTTTTACCTTGTAAGACGCAACTGTTAATCGCGAGGAATTTCAACACCCCAAAATATATTATAGATAAAATAATTGTAAATAAAATGAATCCTTGAATGAATTTTCTCTTTTATTTTCCTAGTCTGCCAAATTGATTTAAGAACTGAAACCCCGATATTATGAGCGTTTCTGAATGAGAATTGCAGTAATTGCAGTAGTATTGATCTCAAGAATGCGTGTACATGAAAAGGGGAATAAAAGATGCGGGGACGAGGTTCAGTCGATACGTTGTTTAGCGTTCCGATTCGCTGGCGTGTAGATCCGATGGTTGTCACGAAAACCAGCAACGGTGGACGAAATTGGTGGGCGTACGAGGGTCAGAGGCTCGTGACATTACCACGGGGGTAACACAGGTGCCGTTGAAGAGACGGTGCAACCGACGCGACGCCACGACCACCGGAAGCAGGTGGTTCCAGCCACGCACCGACGGTTTCACCGACGCGTTCCAACGTCCGAGCGTCGACTTTGGGCAAGAAAACGGCCGCGACTTATTCCTCAAACCGAGAAAGTCCAAACGATGAACGACCGCGTGGTATTCGCAACAACGTTTTGCAACGAGAAATCATATCGGGCGATCCATCGATCAACGTCGGCGTTCTTTTATCAACGACCACCGCCATTATTGGGTTAATAATATTCTACGCCGGGAACGTTAATAACCGGTTAATAACCAGTCGCTCGGGAACCTTCGTCGCGTCGACGAATTTATAAATATTAAGATCGGCTATCGATAAATTGACCGCGACCGAGTTAATGAACTTCACTGCCCTGCTTTGTAACGATTATTTCTAGGTGGGGGGACCATTCACAATTTAATCGACGATATTTTTGGCACCGGTTTTCAGGTTCATGAACGGTTACTATACTGTTATGCTATTATAGTTGCAAGTGAGAAGCAAGCTTGAAAAATTGTGTCTATAAAATTGAACAGTATTGGATGATGGAATCGAAATGGGGGTGTAGAAACAATTCTAAGGGTGTCTATACTCTCGAGGATATTTTTGACACCATTCTCAAGTTCACGAAACGATTACTAAACTGTTATACGTATAATAGTTGCAAGTTTGAAAAATTGTGTCTATAAAATTGTTGGAGATAGGAAGAAATGTTCCCAGGCAAAATTGAACAATATCGAATGATAGAAGCTCTCGAAATGGGGGTGTAGAAACAATTCTAAGGGTGTCTATACTCTCGAGGATATTTTTGACACCATTCTGAAGTTCACAAATGATTACTAAAATGTTATACGTATAGTAATTGCAAGTTTGAAAAATTGTGTCTCTCAAATTGCTTAAGATAGGAAGAAATGTTCCCAAGCAAAATTGAACAATATCGAATGATGAAAGCTCTCGAAATGGGGGGTGTAGAAACAATTCTAGAGCTGTCTATACTCTCAAGAATATCTTTTGACACCATTCTCAAGTTCACGAATGATTACTAAACTGTTATACGTATAATAGTTGCAAGTTTGAAACATTGTGTCTCTAAAATTGTTAGAGATAGGAAGAAATATACCCAGGCAAAATTGAACAATATCGAGTGATGAAAGCTCTCGAAATGGGGGGTGTAGAAACAATTCTAGCGGTGTCTATGCACTCGAGTGTTAAATTTTTGAGTCCACAATGAAAAGCTCGTCACTCACGTTGGCAAAGAGATCGTACTCGTCGAAGAGTAAAACCGAAGAAAGGATATTCCCGGGTCTTCCGCCAGCGAGTGGCTTCCATTGTCTGTCGCGCGATAAGACAGGAAACGGGAGCACGAACGGTCTGGTTGCGAAACGTGAGAATCTTCCTGCGAACGTACGGAGAGCTCTTCTCAGGATAGAGTTCGCGGTCCCGTGAGAAACCGGCCGACTATTGCTTTTCGTCAGCCATCAAGTGAACCGTGCAGAACCACTTATTCAAACGAGAGCGAAAACCGTGCGAATCCATGGATTAGGAAAGGGACAAAGACCGGACGGTGAGAAGAGTCTTCGACCACGGCTAATGGCGTCCCTTTACGCGTGATTACGAATACTAAGTGGCTCGTTTGGTCCTGACACGTTCCTTTCGCCCCCCTGCTGGTGATCGTTCGAATAAAAATCTGCAATATAATATTTAATAGCAATATTTTGCGGGGGAATTATGTCGAGTTTGTAAGCCAGCCATCTTGCGTGACGGGTTGTGTGTGGCTGTCATATTGTCAGTTATGGGGTCTATGGAGAGGAATGGGAGGTTGGGTAACTGTGGATGGATAGAACGTCGCCCCCGGGGGCAGACGAGTTATCCAGACTGATAAAATCATGTTTGTATGTTTCCTTGATCGTAGGAAGCAGAGCTGATATTTCGATATTATAGAAATGTTGTGGAATTATCAGCTATCTAATTTATTAGCGATGTATACTTAAGAAAATCACGTAGCAGTTTTCTTACGGTCGCCATTGTGGCGTAATCTCTTAACGAGAGAATATTTTTGCTCATCTACTATGGAATTACCGTTGCGCCCGTTAAACTGGCAATAAAATAGACCATCTGTTCCAGGCTGCGTCCGAGGTGTCTGATAGAAGCCGTCGAAAACCCGGAAGCATCCGGGAGGCGGTAGTGTGCGATCGACGAGGTGAAATTTTCATACTTCTCGCATGCATTCCGAGCAGGGTGTAATTAGGCGATACAAAAGCACGTGCCTCGCGAATCGCCAACGGGACTATCCAGCAATAAGACGTTCTCATTAATATTATATTTCTATATTTTTAAACGAATTAAAATCCACGGTCTCTTCCGAGAACGAGAATCCTGTTTTCTATTTTATGAAATATCGAAACGCGGATCGTTGACAGCGCGATCCAGTCGGTGTCCGTTAATATTCGAGTTCTAACTTAATATTATATTTCTATATTTTTAAACGAATTAAAATCCATGGTCTTTTCCGAGAACGAGGATCCTGTTTTCTATTTTATGAAATATCGAAACGTGGATCGTTGACAGCGCGATCCAGTCGGTGTCCGTTAATATTCGAGTTCTAACTTAATATCATATTTCTATATTTTTAAACGAATTAAAATCCACGGTCTCTTCCGAGAACGAGAATCCTGTTTTCTATTTTATGAAATATCGAAACGGGGATCGTTGACAGCGCGATCCAGTCGGTGTCTGTTAATTTTCGAGTCCTAACCGAGACGTTCGTCGACCCGGGCGCCAAGGATACAGTTAACGTCGCAATTAAATCGCAACCCTAGATTGCCTCCCGCGTCGCGACAAGTTTCTCGTCGGATAATCTTGGAAACGATACGCTCGCGACAAAGGGGGGGGGGCGAGAACTCATTAGCGAGTCCTCGAGTGCTTTTACTTATGGAGGAGAATGGTATTTCGTTTCGGGTGAAATTCCCGGCTGAAAAGCGCAGGAAGCATTTCTCTTTACGGCATTATTGTGTAGCAGGTCATTGGGCCATAGAGAATCCAAAGATGGCCGAGCGGATTCAGCGCGAGGAAATCAAATGTGCGTGAAATTATCGGATCTCTATTCCTTTTTTTGTTCTTTCACCGCCGGGAATTAATCCGTTCTACGATCGACTGCACGGTATTTCATTTTTTTCCCCCCCTCCCACCTCCGTTTATACAAAAGCATAACAAGCGTATTATCTCGAAATAACAGGAAAACGATCGTCTAATGAGCGACGGAATCGTTGCTCGAACGAAAGGCGGAATTAACGCGTCGACGAGTGAAATTTATCAATTTACCTGCGAGATTATCGTTGGACTTTTTATTGTGTAATTATCGCGAGTGAAAATAACATCCATTTCACATCTTTTTCGTTTATTGCTCCGGTTCGATCGAAGCTGCGACTGTAATTCTAAGTAATCGCTTGCTATTAATAATGGGTCTCGCAGTTATTATATGTACTCCGTATCGAAGACGAGCTCTTATTATTAATAAGCTACGGGATAAGAACTGGACGTTTATCTCCAATTTATGCAATTTATGCGAACTTATTACTTCGGATCGATGAAAACCATGAATATAATTTCAAATTAATCGTCTGTATTAGTATAGATTAAATAGACATCGTTGATCAGCATTAATAGAATAGTAAGATGAAAACTGTTATCGTTTCGTTCACATTTTATAAGTCTTCAGCGAAGCGTTTATGGGTTTACGGTTTATATAATATATTTTTCTTATTTCCACTAATAGAAGACAGCATGGCGGAAAATACTGGAACACCTGGCATTGTTTACTCCGCTCCGCTGTATACATCGTTCGAATTCAGGTTCAGTTCTTTACAGTGTGTATAATAAAACATCTGAACCCTTTCGTTCCCATTGTAGCCATACGGCCATAGAAATAGAATTATGAAATGCAATATTTCTGGCGTTCGTACTTTCATACGGATCCCGTTACAAATTCTTACAATTAAAATTCCCAAGTAGGATTTCTAACGACGACCTAAAAATTATGAAAGGAACGATAACAGACGCGTTTAAAAAGATTTCCAAAAGAGCAAGATGCATCGCTGCCACAGTGGGTCGACGGCATAAATACGATAAAAGTTTGCGCAGCATCCTTCGAGTATTCAAAATGGTTTTACGGACCGGAGGGGGGCAGTAAAAAGGGTTTCCATTATGTATGAGAACTTTGCAATGCAAAGTATCGGCAATAAAACAACCTATTAAAGCTCTACTTAAACATTCGCGCGCTATAAAAATTTTTGACGATCCCGTGATCGCTGATGGATATTCCAGGAAGGAAATCTCTCGATCGTCGGGTATCGAACCGATAAAAAATCCCTGACAACGATCAGGTGGTTGCCAAGGGGAGGAACAAAATACGCCAATGGATTAGAAATAAAGTGTGAATGGTGTCTGACCGTTTTCGTTGCGTTCCTGTTTGTCTGGACTCTTGGTGGACCTGGTGGATCGTCTGAGGGCAGCCTCGAAGTCGCCCACGACGTCGCTGAGGTCGAGGACTGGCGACTCTGTCGTGTACCCTTGTCTGCCGTGGCTCGACCTCGGCAGAGTGGTCAGACCGTTCGTGGTGGCTGGTTCTTGGGGTATTTTCGGCAGTTCGGCCTCTATTCCCGCGAGGGCCGGGCTCACCTAAGATTAAAAATAAAAAGGAATTCACGCGACGACCTTCGCCGACAGCTGTCGATCCGCGACAAAGCGTTCATCGCGAGGAAGCATCGTCTTTGACGGGAGAACGTTACAACGATCGCGGGGAACCATCGAAGCAGTGATTTTATAATGAACCGACAGACAGAGAAATATCTTAATTAACGCGGGTTGGCACGAAATTGAACGCTCTTCCCCCGACCCCCGGGGGCGAACGCCACTCAGCCAGAACGATTTAATTATGGAATCGATCGATTTACCAGGCCCAGCAGAACCTCCATGGACTGGCATTGCCTTCGACGTTCCCTTTTCTTCCGTCTCTCGATGCTAGACCTGTCGCCCGCGCTTCCTGCCGCCACCGCCTCGCAATAACGCACGAAATCCAGGTCGATGTGGTATCCGTAAGGGCAGCAGAGGCATTTCGAACGCGTCGAACCGGAAACGTAAGCCTGCGTCCCCACTGGCCACCGAGAATCACAACAAATGACAAATAAACGTTAGAGTTCCCGCGCAAATCGCCTTTGGTCCAACATGGCGGACCTTCCGATCACCGATCTTAACCAAACACTGGGTAGATTTAGTACCATTTGGTCAATTTTCTGTAATTAATTTTGTATCGTTAGGTTGGTGCATGTGAAGTTGTTTTTCTGATGTTTTAATTGTTTTGAATCCTCGTGGCAGCTATTTTGGAACGAGATTATGAGTCTGTGTAAAAAATTGAAAATCTTAAATAAATAGAATAGGAGAGTATCTGCTCTAGAAATTGAGATGGAATTTAATGAAGATGGAGGCTGATTTTATTGGCGTTTGGCATTGTGAAAAAGGATATTAGTAAAAGCAGGTTTACGAGGACGCGTGGCAGTAAAACAACCGCCATTAGTGCCTCGAAATAAGAGAGAATGGGTTCAGGAAACAATCAATTTCTAACCGAGACCAGAGTTTTGAAAAAGATATTACGCATTCAAAAAGAGAATGTTAAATTTTAATTGTTAAATCGTGAGTCCAGCAAGAGTTTGTCGGTAAATCTTTTATCACGAGCTCAACCCGAGAAACGAGATCGTGTATTTGATGGAGTCAAGATCGATAAGTCGTGAAATGATTGGAAAAGAGGCGCGTCTTGGTCGGATCGAGCCGAGAGAAAGGATCTATCTTTGGAGGGTTGGATCGATTGTAGTTCATCGCTAACGCCTGATTGTTCGAGGGTAACGACCGGCGCTCAGCGTAAACCGAAATATGGTGTAACCATTGGCGGCCATCCAGAGAGGCACGGTAATAATAATCTGGCAAAGTTCGTTAGCCGGGACCGCGTGGGGAATCCATTTACGTGTCATATAGAACTGCTCATACTATCGCGACGTACGTGGCAATGACTTAATGAACTTCCTTGCGGCGAAGATCGCGCGGCCAATCCGCGCTCGAACGTCCAAGTATCCTCCATGATCCATCATGGGTCGATCTCAACCGATTTACACCAAACAACAAAATATTTTATGCGTTTACACTATAAAATCTTATACTATATGCTTGCACAGAAAAAGTAAGCCTAATTCATTCGTTCGACTCAAGACAAGTCGTCAAATTCGGTGCATCCCCTTTTATTTATGATTATTAATTTCATTTAACGTCTGTTGTATAATAGCTATAATTTGACAAAAATTACAAACAATTTGCTTGATCTACAAAACGAAAGCTCTTCTAAGAAACATGTCACGATCATCTGGTGGAGATCTGACCATTTTGCACCAATCGTCGCGATAATTTCTGGGGGATAATTATAGCTGTCGCGACCGTACGAAGTCAGCGACGAGTTTGCACGGATTTCCGTGAAATTTTAATTTAGGACGAAAGGACTTCCAATTGCTTCGTTACCCGGATCGTTTGCCACGGCGATCTTTTTTATCCGGTTCAAAGAACCCCGGGGCGCACGCGACCGTGTCCGTCGTTATTAAATTATTTAACGCATCCACCGTTATGTTAATTATTTAACGTCGTCTACGAGCCGTACATAAATAATAGTTTATCAGACGGGGACCTTGCACGCGATCGATAAGCATATTATGTCTTTCGATCGTAAGCCGAGCTTCCACGGCCAGTTGTGTGCTCGAGCGCCAACGTACAGATAACCCGATTTACGTTACACGAGCCTGATATCGGTAATCTGTTGCGCGTTATGACTTCATGGCTGATACCGCGATTTATCGTTGTAATTTGCCGGAGATCTTTTGTTTGGGGGACTTCAATTATGTTTCACGGACTGTTTACCTTCGTCTGGATCTTCCTCGACGATACCAAACACGGAAACATTGGTACATTGTAATTTAAAAAATGTCTGATATATTGCAGGGATCATTTACTGTCTCGAGTGTCTGGGAATTTACTGGGTTTATCGTGTCTGGAGTTTCTAGTGGCTCGACTACTGGTCTTTAGTGTGCAAACTTGTAACGTCAGTTTGCAACATAATTGTGACATTATGATAACGTTATGTATACTACTGGGTGACTCTTGTTTACAGGAATACATGAATAACTAAATGCGTAGTATTCATTATGATTTTAGTGATCAACGCCTGTACATTTCATTCTAATAGCTTTAATAAGTAATTACCGTGTTACAAAGTATAATGAAAGAAGCATAGACTCACCGTTTCCGTTGAAAACGCGGGCAGAGGGTACGACGGTCAGCGCCATTTTTTCGTCACCGTGTCGGGCTCTGTGCACCTTTCAGGGCAGCATATTCAGAATCCTGAAAGCAAAAAAAGCCCCCCCGCGACTCCATTAGCTCGTGCAGTACAAGGGAATCGATTCGTGTTAATAACAGCGAGCCTCCACCGAGGGACAAAAAGGTGATCAATTCGCGAGCCTCGCAAAACTTTACGCTGAAAGTGCATTTCTTGCGTGGACTGATTAAAATTCGTGTGCACCACGATGCATGGTCGAAATCAGAATTTTGATCTGCCAGTAATTGTAGCAATTTTTTAAGTAGCTCGAATGGCTATCGAATACTGGAAGGATCGAATAATTCGAACAATTCCAAGCCTCCTGCCAGATACCAACGCGTATTGTTCCTCTCTGTCGCGCATCGGCGCCGATGAAATTCTCGGTATCGCGTAATTTCATTACGCGTTCGTTACACCCGCGACTATCCCAGCAACGATCGCGTCAAACGTCGGCTCGCTTAGTTCCCCGGCTTTCGAGATCTTCGGTCGCGATCGTCGTCAATTACAACCGGAGAAATCTCTCGCGGCTCTCTCGGTTCTAATAAAGTGCTAAAGAACGCGAGGAAAACCAATTACTTTCGAAGAATTCCGGCTCGCCTCCTGTAATTGACGAAAATAAAAGAGACACGGGCTGGCAAGGCGAGAGAACCGTCCTGCGGGGGTCTTTCACGGTGTCTTCGTCGTGTTCCACGATTTCCACGGCGTCCCGTACCGTGGCTAATTCCGTATCCCGGATTTCTGGTCTGACGGCAACGCGTCCTCCTCTCGCTGCGCCAACGCGAACTTTTAATTGTTCGACGCCGAGCCATCGTCGACCCAACGGTATTTTTACGATCGTTTCCGGCGAGGGGATGATTTTTCAGACCCTTGGAATGCCCAGAAAGGGTCCTTGGAATCTTTTCAAGCAACCAACCAGCACAGAATTCGGCGGGAATTTCATCCAATGGGGTTATAATTTCTCAAACTATAAATCTTTCTAAAAATCATTCCTTTTTTTTTAAATTTTCTTAAAGAATATGCTTTCGAAAATGTATTTGCAGAAGCTTGGAATGGCTAGAAAGGGTCCTTGGAATCTTTTCAAGCAACCAACGAGCACAGAATTCGGCGGGAATGTCATCCAATGGGGTTATAATTGCTCAAACTATGAATCTTTCTAAAAATCATTCCTTTTTTTTAAATTTTCTTAAAGAATATGCTTTCGAAACTATATTTGCTAAACCTTGAACTCGAATTCCCAAAAATAATCAATCTACAGCTGTTTGATAGATGCTATTGTTACAAGGTTACGAAACTTCAATGTTTTTCAAGATGGCGTCCATGATTCCCAACATCTACTAAATCAATTGCCTCGAAAATTAAAGTACACGTTCATACACGAAAGTAAACACGAAAAATCTTCGCAAGAGGAAGAATTTTCTAAACAAAAGTCTCTAGAACCCATTTTTTAGTATCCAAAGGTGAAAGTCTCCGGATAGTTTCGACATTCGACAGGCTCTTTTTGATCCTCGGTCTGAAAACTTCGCACGGCCGTACGTGATACATTTACGAAACGAATAGTCCCCGAAAGGAATTGGGATTCACGTCGCGATCGGCTCCGGAGGGACGTTTCTTCGGCCCGAGGTCGAGGCAGGGCTCGAGGACCCTGTCGGGTAACACGTAACCACGCATTTCCTCCTTTCTCCGCCTTTCCTCCTTTGATTTTTAACGAGGCGCCGCGTCGCGTTATTCGAGAGTCCGATGATCGTAATAAATAACCTGTACACGGTGTTTTACGTGTGTCCATCGTCGTCCCGAGTAACCCCTCCCGTTCGGTCTGGAACGAGAGACGGATAATAATACGCTCCGCGCGAGGAAAAGACCGACCCGTCTCGCGTGAGTTTTTCAGCGAGACTGGTATTCGTCTCACGAGCGAGGGTTACTTCTTCGAATTCGTACAACTCGCGAAATGGAAACTTGCGTCGCGTTGCGTATGGACGTTGATGTAACAAGACGTTGCCTTGGACCTACGAGACGATCTCGCCGTCCATAAAAAAAATGTAATTTCCTACTAATCCATTTCCATAATCGTTGCTCGGTGTCGCCGTCTACAGCGATGGGTCTAGACTCAACGGGACCTGGAGCTAATTGACTCTGTTCGAGATCTCAGGAAAATTATCTGTCCGAATAAACAGAGACTGGTTTACTTTAGAAAATCGCTATCAATCTGTAAACTAATTTGGTACCGATATATGTATATTTTTTTATTGTTCAGAATCTAGCTTGGATTTCTAAAAAGTGAAGGGCACGGAAGATTCTAGTGTACAAGATTGACAAATATTTCCATAAATTAAGTAGTCTATACTTTTCATCGGATAACAAAGAGCACCTCATCAAAATTTCATGTAAATTGAGCAAAAATTACAGGAATTATAGTGGAATTGCAAACACACAGATTTCTAATGTAAAACAGGGATCTGCAATATCGCTGTACAGAATTCAGTGATGCTACCTAGCGCGAAGAATCGGAACTATTCCACGCGTCGAGATCATTGATTATAGATTATAAGTGTAATACGTATTTAACATCAATAATTGCCTACATCGACGAGCGAGTGAATCAATTTAATTAAATAAATTCCCTCCAATTTTTTGTTAATCCAGCTTCGTGAAAATGGCGACCGCGAATTAATCAAGGTATCGGTTTTTTTTTCGACGCCAGTATTTTTCCAACGAGATTGATTTATGAAGCGGGCTGACGTAAACGAGATTTTCAGCATATTTAAATAACATTTATTTTCCGCGATGACGCGCGCGTATTCGACGACTGCAATCGTTCCTGTTATGACATATCGAAACAAGTCAATGACAAATGTTATCTGGGACCGTTCGCGGAACGTGTCTGTTTATAAGCAGCTGATAAAAGCAGCCGTTTCGTAAATATTTAACGCGAAGAATCCGAGTGTCCCGTTCTCGGGGACGAAATTATTCCCTACGAACCCTTTGATCGGAGTTTCTCGTTAAAATTCCGGTCACTCGGACGTAACGTGAGTACGCGTCGTTAGTTTCGTGAAAACTGAATGCTTTTACACCGACGTGTCAATGGTTTATCTACGGATTACGTGCACAACGATAATCTGGGAGATAAACAACTCTTTAAAACAGAGGTACGATACTTCGAGGCGAATAGTATAAAGTACGGTGTACCAAGTTTCAGAATTAATTGAATTCTCAAAGTATCAAAGGTCGAGATCGATAGAAAAGGACTTTGTGCTCCTTGACATTCTTCTATTTACCAAACACCGGGAAAAGGAACGAATATCGTCGAAGAATCGACTAACAAGGGAGCATGAATATTTATTAAAAGATCTGAATTTCAAATTGTGTATCGAGTCGTTTCAGAAGTCTTTACGATCGAAACAAATCTTGCTGTACTCTCACCGAGTCCCCAGATTAATTTACGAACTGTATCACTGTTCTTGCCCACTGTACAACGTTCGTTTTTCCTCGCGTCGTGGAGCGTTCACTATCGAACTCGATGGAAATCCGCGGGACAAAGAATCGACGATCTTCGAGCATTGTTCGAAAATTTCGGCGCGGCGCGCAAAGACCGATGAAACGAGCCAACAAGATAACAAAGAGCGACGTCGCGCACTGTTCTCGCGGCGCGAAAATTACGAAGGGAATGGTTGGGCGACTCACGTGCACTATAGGGAGGCCCGGGGACAGCGTCGTTGAATGGAAAGTAAAGTCAGCGACTCTCCGGTGCTCGGAAACCCGTGGCCTAATTCCAGAAAACGAAGCCCCGGAGCGAACGAAGAGACCGGGTACGGTTGCATAAAGCGCTTTCGACGACGAAACGAAATTCCCGGTCCGGTTTAGGCACGACCGATGGGAGAGCCCGGCGAGCGTGAAATCAGTACACGGGGGGTTTCGACGGTGTGCTAAACGGATCGATACGCGGCCACGGTTCGCGCTGATAAGCCGACGAGCACTGATAGCGACCAGCGATTGTCCGACCATGCGGATGTTTAACCGACGATCAACGCGGAGGAACGTATTGCGGACCCGTGTCCCCGAAAATTGGACCGCGCGTGCCACCGAGCAAACCCCTTCGCGCCCTTTGATCGACTACCCCGACTGTGGTCGGCGAATTTTGGTCCTACGCGATGGACCCTGCAAACCGTCGTACCTGTTGCTCTTTGACCCACTTCGACTGGCAAAAACTGTTCCACACGGTTGCATATTTTTATATATTGTCGAATTTTTGTGGAATTTTTGTGGAATTTTTGGGAACCAAGGGCTATTTGAAGGGTCTCCTTATTTAACCCTTTTAGTGCCGGGCGAAAAAGAGGTGCCTATGCGAGAATAACCGGCCGAATTTCACGGTTTTACAAGGGTTTGGGAAAATGCTCATAAAAACCAAACAAGAAACAATATTTACATGATTCAAAAAGCAGTATATTAAGGACGAAATAGAGAACAAAACAATGAAACTAGTTTTTCTATATTCATTGATAATTATATATATAACAAAGGTATAAAAGATCATGAAGAAAGTAAAAGTTGAGTTCTCTCTTACAAAACGTATTTGCACATACAAAAAGTCATCTTTTTATCATAATTTTATATAGACCATTTACTACAGAGTATATAATTTGCATTTCCAATATATTTTGTAACAAGATAAATAATATTACATAACAAAAATATATATATATATATGTTAGATTTCGTTAGCTCCAAGCGGTAGGGAAAAGTCGTCCACAAAGAGTTAAAACGAAAAACTATTTTTTTTAATTCTCTCGTGATGAAATTAGAGCATTTATAAGGTATTATAAATTTATTTTTAGATAGAGTTCTCCCGCAATGCGAATAGTAAAGCGCTACAAGGCGCGAGCCGATATATCGGCTCTGGCACTTCTCGCTAGTGCAGCAAGAGCCGATATATCGGCCTCCGGCACTAAAAGGGTTAAGGGTTGCAGTGTTGAAATACTTTTAATTTAGTATATCAATATGGAGGATTTTAGTGAACCAAAATGGAGGCTCG